TCATATAAAATGGTTTGAAGTTCTATTTTTACGATTTCCACCCAAAATTCTTGAAACGCTTCTATTTAAGAGATAAATCTTCAGATCATAATTCATCCATAATACACACCTACGAACAGCGTAAATGATGTAATAATATTAATAGTATTATTGTTAAATGAGATGAACACAGCAAAAGAATGAATAATGGCGGGAAAAATATTAAAAACAAGTTTTGTCGTTGGAAACATTTTGTTTAAAACCATTGAAAAAATTTGAATTCAAGTTAAAAATTTAATATATAGAGCGCATTTTTTTGTTTATCAATTCAGTAGTTATCTCGAGTCCGTAATGTCGTTCTAAGTCTTAAAACTTTTATTTTTCAGTTCCGTAAATCAAAAAACGCAACACATAAAAATAAAACCAACAAAAAAAGATAAAAAAATCATAAAAGAACCCATCAAGTAACAACAGCACCGAATCTAATGAATTTGAAACAATGACGTTCAGTTGACACTTGATATAGAGTAGGAACCAAAATATAAAATATCGAACGACAAGCGTGCAAAACAGGAGAAAAAAAGAAAAACTTTTTCCAGGTAAACAATTGATCAGCATAGCTTGCCATCATCATTCAATGCCACAATTTTCATATTTTTTTTGCCCTTATTCAGCAGTAATTATTGTGCAGTATACAGCATAATCGTGAATAAGCACATTGTTGAAAGAAATCAATGACGATGAAAGAAAGGGGATAAGAAGAAGACAATTGAAAGAATGTAAATTTTCAGTTCCAACAACAGGTGTCTTTTACGTGTTTTGAAAGGGAAATTTTTGGTGCTGCAGCAAGAAGCCATTCTCGATATTCAAAAATAAACATGAAAGGAAAAATTCTTTCAAAGAAGAGAAAATTTGTTTTTCTTTCGGTGGAAATTCCTTTTGAAATTCTACCTTTTTGGGCCTGGTCAGAATTTCGTGTGATTTATTAGTGTTTGAACAACATGAAATGTTTGGTTTTTGATCGTGATTTTCACCCTTTTCAGGAGCTTTGTGTGGCTTTATAAAAAAATTTGTGATGGTTTTTTAATTAGAAATTTCTATATATTTAATATCAATCTATGAAACTAGGGGCTGCAAGCTTAGACAAATATTTATCACATTTTTTTTGTCATCTATAACGTCTTAGTCTTCTTGGATGTCTATAAACCAGTGGTGGACAACCCATGTACCGCGACACACTATAAATTCAGAAAGTTCTACGAACCGTATGCCGTGTGTGGTTTTGGTTATGACCTACCACTTAGGTGCCGTGGCATAAAAAAGGTTCGACACCACTGCTATAAACCTATCAATACAAATGCCATAGGCATAAGAATTGAATTGATTTCGTTCATAACCCCCAACAAAGATATTTTTTAAAGCTAAAACCTTCAACTTCAATAACTATCATAAAGCATTTTAGCTTCAATATCAATCGAGCATTTAATGGCAGTTCCATTCAATTTGAATAAGCCCACTTCTAAAATGCTCTTTTATCATTGCTTGCTTTAAAGCGTGGGCAAACTTAAGAGTAAACAAAAGCATAAAAGATGGCATCATTTGAAGTTTGAAGTCAATTTGCTTTGATTAGAATCCAAATGCTGGATTGACATTTTAATGTGCAGTAATGATGTAGCTGAGGGTTTCAGAAGTTCTTTTGAAATTGAAAATTATATTGAAAAAAATTCAAGGAGACCCCTAAAAGTGCTACATAATAAGCTTTCTACCTCTAAACTTCAAAGACAATTAGCTAATCCTTCAGTTCATTTGAATTCTTCAATCATTTATGTTTCAATAGGATTTAAAATGACAGAACTTCTAAAGCTTCTTTTGAGTAGAAGCTCATCACCTTTCATGCTCGTTTCTTGATTAAATAGCAATTCTACACAACGAATGCCATGTAAATACCCAAAAGCAACATGTTGCTATAATTTACTATTTTTTAAATGATAGATACCTGCTCGAACCTTTTTCTATGATTTATGAGATACGTGGAGATATGAAGCAATAAGGAACATAAATTGTTCATCATTTTTAACTCTATTTTGCCTTTAAAAGATCTATAATCAAGTAAAATATTCATTCCAAACTCTCAATTTCTCTCACACACACACACACACACACACACACACATCTGAAACATGTTTATCTTGATGTGGCATTAACATCCATCCTTCTGGTTGCAGAAAATAAAGAACTAGAAAGAGAAAAATTAATTAAAATCAAAATAAAACCATTTCAAAGTTTATTTACTGTTTTTGATTTCATGGACGTCAAGTTTTATTGCTATGTAACGGTACAATGTATCTACTATTATTATCTGATGGATGAGGATGTATGCAGGGGGTTCGGTTGTTGCTCGAACTTTGGAATATGATTATTATGGCCAACAACTCTCATAATCAATATCATTGACTCTTCTTGATTTTTAAAAAAAATATTTCCTAACTTCATCCCTGATCAGAAGCTCCTCTATCTACCTAACTGCAATAGTGATTATACTCCTCGGTTCTTACTTTTTCCACAGCATTTTTTTCAATCCTGTTTCCTTCTCTCTTTACATGATGATGATGATGATAGAACGATAAAGTTTTTTATAAAGCTTCGCCACATAACAATATTGTACATCCAACAAACCAATGAAATAAACATCTGCACAGAACAGAATCGATCATATTCATTAAAGCAACGAGTTGCATAGACGATGAAGAAAGTTTCTGTACCAATTTTTTTATATCTGTAGCTTTTGTGGATGTATTTCCTTTGAAGAATCATGTATATTGCTGTTATAGACTCTTTTTTTGATGTGGAAATGAATTTTCTATTGCTATGCAGTAAATCTGGAATGTTTATATCTCAACAAGTTTAAATCAAGGGATGCGACAAAACAGAGAGAATGAGGGGGTGTCGTGGCATCAAGCGTTATAATCGATAACCCAAAAAATCCAGAAATAAATCAAATGTCTTAGTTTTTTATCAGCACTCTAATTTCAACCTATTTCTTACATAAATAAGCCTACAAAAAGCATTAATTTTTGCCATAATATTTATCTATCACAAAAACTACATAAAATTTACCTCCCATACAGCATTAATAGCCTTGAAGCAAATCACCTGGAAAGATTTACAAAAAAAAAATGTTGACATAAATTCAGAATAAGGCATAAAAAATCAAACTAAGAAGATTTAAGTAAACTCATAAAGGGGGATGAGTGTTCATAAGTTACAGCTGGGTCACTGTGGCAGAGCTATTTTCTAGCTTTATGCTTTCAGAGAGCTGCCGACCCTCATAGTTCCTTGTGTAAGTTGCTGTACTTTCGATATGCTACAAGAATTATTGTCTGGATCTTGAGTTTCTCCGTGTTTAAAAACTCTATATTTTCCAAAAGACATCATTCATGCACATTCCTGCAGCAACCGACTGTTTCATCATCAAGCATCTTCATCAGAAATGTTCAATACGTTCTTATCTAAGCGATAAAAACTTTTCATTCCTAATTTTCTTTGCCTTATTGTGCTGTATTTATCTTTAAGATTACGTACATCATATTCCTATGAGAAAGGGTTGGGTTGCTGCCTACATACTGCCTCATTTTTCAGTTACTCCTATATAATTCATTCGATATGTTAGCAAGAAACTTGAGCGCGCGTTCAAGCTACAAAAACTCTTTTTTCTCTTATCTGTGCTACCTCCTCACTTTCTATGATTTCGTGTGTATATAAAAAGTTTTATCGCGATTTTATCAATGTTGGAATGAAGTAAACATAATTTTTGCCTTACAATTAATTCCATGGTATTTAAAAGCTATGCTGGCTGCCAAGTAATAGCTGCTGTGCGTGATTTTTTATTGATTTTCTGTGATTTTTATTTCACTTCTTCTTTTCTTTTTTCGTCATTCAAATTTTACACCTTCAGTGACTTTTATAGTCAACAACACACCAAAAAATATGAATTAATAAGGAATTAAGGAAGTTTTTCCTTTCCGCGAAGGATAGGCAAAGAAGGGAACATTTTTTGTTGAAGGAAAAGATTTTTCGAATTTTCTCTTTTGTGCTTTGATGATAGGCGAGAATTATTTGTGGTAAATCAGGCGATTTGAGAGGTTTTTTTGTGCTTCTAGGAAAGTTATGGGTTGGTGAAAATCTGGAATTTTATTTTGAAATTTTATAGCTATGACAATTATCACATGCTTCAATTTTTCAGAGGTTGTGACCCAATTTCTTGTATTTTAAGACCACGCAATTGTCTAACGTCATTTTGTTATTTATTCTGGCAAAACAAATGTCAAGGAAGCTCAATCATGATCATAAATCAACATTGTAGCCTCATAAGCTATGAGCCTATATTTTGGCTTGAAGACATCAATCTAATAGCTATCCTGCAGATTTAGCTTTAGTATCATATCTAGAAGAGTTGTGTTGAGTTCGTAATGTAAAAAAAATTGTTTGTGTATGAAGGTTCGATTCCTATCAATTCTAACTTGTTTCACTGTTCTCTTCTATTTAAATGCAGCATAAGTTTGCACCATCCTCTTCCTTTTCTTCTGTCCACAATACCCCCTAATACTAATCTTATTTAAAATTCAAAATATTGAACTTACTCAAAAAAAATATCCAAAACTGCAGTTCCCTGCAGTTCAATTCCTTTATAAAATTCAGCAATTCCCAAGCTATTATCTCAAAAAAAGGCTCCAATAAATCGTCCCTCCATAATTGACATAAAATTCTCAGCGGGTGTTTCAAAATGAATTTTGCAATATTTTGTCAAAAACAACTGTCCCGAGCATAAAATCCATAGAAAATAACTAGTTTCCGGTCAAATATTGTACCATTAAAATATAATTCAATGTTATTGCATAGAAACCCACACCCCTGGAACTATTAAAAGCTATAAAATGAGGGTCGATATAAAAATGATTATTATCATCATAAAACTTATTATAGCAATCATTTGAATAATAAATCTTTCTTGATTTCACAGTGAAAAAAAAATATAATAAATAGTTTTTGATATCCGTCGATAAAAGTTGATCAACAATGTGCTTTATTCAGTTTATGTTTTGAAGAGATTGGCGAGGTAATGCTGTGTATTTTGTATTTAAATTACTGCAATTTTTTTTTAAATCCTGAATGGGATGGATATTAAATAATGAATTATTCTGAATGAAAATAGGGAAATCATTAAAAACTGCTAATGGATTTTAATTCGGTGCTAAAATTATGGTTGGAAATGGAATTTTCCTATTTATATTAAAGCTTTAAATTCTCGGATTTTAAGAAATGTTAATTGCATCTATAGAGTTGTGTCGGAGCAGGGATATCGAAACTTATCTACCTGTGCGAATTGTAAGCCTCTGTGGCTTAATAGTTAAGCAACAGACTAGAGATTTGTAAAGACTTAAGTTCGATTCCCACCACAGACTGATCTTTCAATCTAATACATTAAAATGTTGTTGATACGACAATACAGGTGGCACCACCTTTGCACTACGTCATTGTTAATTCTAACCTCAAAATTCATAAACTTAACATTGATAAAATCAAATCCAATGTCAAGTGCATAAACTTAAATAATTTAAATCCATAATCTCAATTCCTTTACTCTTTACTTACTTGCGTGGTAATACCTTTAAAGCATATCCAACATAATACACACCGACATGTACCAAAAAAATCAAAAATACCCAAAGAAAATAAAAGCTCTGAATCATTAAATTAATGATTTACGCAAGCAATCACTGCTAAATGTAGAACCATAACGCGAATAAGCATCAGCACTTTCCAACTGTACTGTTAAATAAATTGCATGACCTATGCTTAACAAAATAAAAAGTTATAAATCTCATACCTGAATAAGAAAAATAAAATAAAATTAAAAGTCTATTTTAATAATAATAATAAAAAAATATGAAAATAAGGAAGCAAAGGATTAACATTGTTCGTCCATTAATCTTTTCATCACATTATAATATTAAATCGCTTAAGCATAAAAAGATTTTAATATAAATAAAAATTATATGTGCAGAATGATTGGACATGGGAGACACACAGTTGCCTCTCGTCGTCGAGAGTCGAGTCCGATGGTACGTGGTGGAAGTATTGATGCTGATGGTGCACCATCGAAAGGTGCATCACCGAGGAGAAGGCGCGCTGTTGCAGTAGCTGATCATAAATCATGTGCCCTAATTCAAACTAGACTGAAATTAGGAGAATTAGTGTGAGTATATCCATTATTTTTTCTTACTTTGATATTTAATTCGACCATTAATGCATTCAGCCACGTAGAAAATCTGTGATTTTGCTTCTCTGATTTTTCCTACGTGGAAAATTATTTTTATGAGCTTTTGAGAAGCTTTGGTGAGCTTTTAGTCAAGACACATTTGGGTCCTGAAAGTTTTCTTTCAAAATTTTTCACAACAGACTTTATCCAAGACACATGAAAGGTTTGAGAATCTCTTTTCTTCTTATCGTGATCATCCAATGAACGTAAATTGCCTACTAATGCTCAATAGTTTCACTTAAAATTTCCAAGCTGACATTGTTCCTTATTTCAACACTCTATATACAAAAATTTACATTGATAATCGTGCCTACAAATTTTCCGTCCAAGTCTTCTTCTTCCATCAGTTCCTTATTTGTCTAATAATTTTTTTTTATTGCAAAACGCACAGCTGTCATCATCTTACATTTATTGTTTTGACTGCATGACATAAAATTAAATTTTTTATGGTCGCAGTTCATTTTGAGCTTTTTGCTTCTTATTTGGAATTTTTTTAATGGTTATGGATGGGATTATTTATTGGATTTGTGATTCTTTTTGGAGTTTTAGTTATGTGAGAGGAATTTCTGCTGTTTTTGAAGTTTTAGGATTATTTATTAGAGAAGAGTCAAACAATCGTTGGTTCATCAAAAAATAAAAATTATGCAGTCATCTTAAGTTAATTAAAATGAGGAATGAATCTTGGTTCCCTTTTGAATATATTCTTAACAGCTTTGAATCAATTCCCGATTGACACATATTGAAGTTGTTGCAACCAGACAGCCGGGGGAATAGTATTAACCCTATCGACTTCAAGCTCTGCTTGGCTCTAATTATACTATCAACTCGACTGGTAGCAAACATTTCATTGAATTTTAAGGTGTACCAATCGGGCTTCCATGCTTTGCACAATTTTGATCCATGACATTTCCATAGATTTTACATTTAATTGACATTAGGTTGAATTCTCAATTCAATAGCAATCCAAATCACAGCAGAACTTACCACGTTCTAGACTAGATTATAATGCTAGACTATTTTGATTTCACAATAATGTGTAATGTTGCTTTAAATTTATGCTTTAAAATCCGTTTCCTTCCAAAAGTGTGAATAATTGACAATTTTTCTATGTCTTTTAAATGATTCTTAATCCAACATTTTACTGGCTTCTAAAATACCTAATTAATATTTTAAATCCAATATCTACAAATATTACATCAACAATTCTAATTAGAATCCCCACATCATCAAAATATCCACAAAATAAGCATCCATAAAATAATTAGCATCCAATTAATTAAGCAAAATCCACAATCGATGTAAATTGCCAAATAAGCAAGAGAAATCCAAAATGCAAAGTAAAAGTCCATTTTCATAAATTTTCAATAATAATTTTTTTGTTCCTTCCTTTACATCCTTCTTATTTCCATTCTGTCTATGACCCAAAAAAGAACTCCGATTATCAATTTATGTTGCAACAAATTTCATATATTTTTTTTTATTATGTATACGTATAGCATGTCCATATAGAAGGAACAATGTGATTGCCACATGATTCTCCGAATTGTAGTAGAGATGGAAAATAAAGCACGCAACACACAATGACATGAGACATTGAAGATTGATTGTATTGGAGTCTCCATGGAAGTTCCAATTTGTAGACATAATTGAAGCTTATGTATTGATAACTTCCATGGAGAAAAAGCTTCATTGGAGGGTGAAAGAAAATTTTTTCATTCTCAACAGCGCCAATAGTACGTTTGCGACGAACCATTGAAATACGCGAAAAAGTTTTCACCCGTGGTAGTCAGGACTGAAAAAAAGAGAAAATATATCCAACCAAAAAAAAAAGTTTCTAATTTTTCTAATTTTTCTCTCATTTAACGTTTAAAACAATCAGAAAATTGTGAAAATTTAGTGAGAAAAGTGTTCGAGTCGCATAAATCAAGACATTATAATTAATTCATTCGATTATCAGTTCCTTAAAAAAGAGATTTTTTTAATCAAAAAAAAAAAAAATTGTGTGGATTCAAATAAGGAAAATTTCTGGGGTGAACCAAATGAAAGGAAATTTTGTGGAGTAACCCAATATGGCCGAGAAGTGGTCGTCAAATAGTTCTCTGGATAAATTGGTATAGCTTAATATATTCTGAATGCATTAATTATTGTTCGACTTATGCGGCAGTTATCCACGAAAAAAATAATTTCAATGATAAAATATTGCAGGACGAGAAAAGAAAAATGTCTGTGCAGGAAAAATGGCAGATTTTCTTTTTGATATTGAAGGGGAAAATTTTTTTTTTGGGAAAATTGAAAATTGTGTCAAAGCTCAAATGCAATATATCGATAATGCACAAACAATTTGAGGATAATGTGCAAAATAATAAATTTTTTCATGAACATTAATTAGTGAAAATTTCTGAATTACATAAAAAATGATTTTTCCTTCATCGTGAAAAAAAAATCAATTTTTTTCATTTTGCTTTTTCATGTGGAAAAATTTTTTCAAAAATTTTATTTCTTTCAATTTTTCTTCGATTTTTATTTTACTTCAATTTTTTGAAAATTTAATTAAAGTGTGAAAAATTTTTCTCCATTCAAAAGAAAAAGGATGTGAAGCTTCACAAAGGAAAGGAAGCAAAAAATTTCGGAGGGTGAAATTTGGAGAATTTTTCTTCTTGTTCTGTTCCTTTCCTTGTGTGTCCTACGATGTGTATAAACGTGTATGTGTGATAATGAAGAAGAGAAGCAAAAGCAAAAATGAAAAAAAAATTCTTTTTTATACATTTGTGTTAGCGGAAGTTCCAATGATTCCAATTTATGTTTAAAAATAGGTGAAAAAAAAGCTTTCCTTCTCTCTCACCAACTGTGCTTGTCTTATGTACACGTATGTATTATGTCTACATACAGATGATTATTTATTGTACATAATGAGTCTATGTGGATAAGTATAGTTCTGATACACGGACGTGAGTAATACCATTAATTCAATATGCATTATTTTTTTGTTTCTCAATATCAAAACTATTGAGGACTTTTTACGCTATTTTTATGCATCGTAAATAAATCAACAGAAGCTGATTGATTTCTAAATATATCCACTTGATGTGGATTTGTTCCAAAAATATATATAATTTAATTTTAGAGATGTGCATCGATTGGAAGTCGTCTTGAGTAATATGAGAAGTGGAGATGGTTGATTCTTGGTTTTTGAGGATGTATCTTCATGATGAATCATGAATAATTGTAGTTTTAAGGTAGTCTTTCAGCTAGTTGCTCTATTTGGGCATTAATAGTGACTAAATTTGAAGGCTTTATGATGAGATTTATGATTTACTCTATAAGGAGCATTTGAGACTTTTAATATGGCCTTATATGTTATCAGCATTGCTTTAACATGGCTACTGAGCCTCGCAGTCACAAGAGCTTTAATAAACCAGCACTGAATGAAGTAATGAATTATTCACAAGGCAAGTCCTGAAAAAGTCATAATTTCGAATATCAGTTAACAAGTGAGAATCGAACTCTTGTCTCACAATTTCAAGCTCCCACATTCTTCTACCAATGAGCTATCGGGGGTTCCTCGACTATGTGACCAAATCTGATATATATGTTGCTTTTTTTCCCATGACTTATCGTTGATCAGCTAATCCAGCAATTCAAACACTCTACAGCCTTCAATATTGAACTTAGTAAGCGTCTTAATCTCTAAAACCTCTAATTTCTGGCAAGACTACTTTTTCTACTATTCTTGACTCCCAAAAACCGAAAATCCACCATTCTTCAGCAATATCCCACTCATATCTATCAACAATTCCCATCTCAGGGTCCAAGAACTTCCACGACAAAAAGTTAATGGCAATGATTCGAGGAAATAATATTTTTCTATGTAACTGTCAATGACAGTCTTGTGGGAATGATTAATAATACTCTTTCTTTATTTTACGGGCAAATGACATTAGTGAAAAGTTGTTTTTTTGCCTGCCAGCCATAGCATTTGTGGCTTCATGTGGGTATTGAGGAAATTATCAAATTTATATTAATTAATCCGATTGATTGATGCAGAATGAAAATGTTTTAAGAGTGGGAAGTTGGACGGAAACTTGTTCTTTGTCAGATGTACACCTTTTGTGTGTCAAGTTTATAATTTCTTTTTAACTGCCTAACGAATAATTATCGTATTATTGATTTTTTTTTTTGAGGGAGAATGTGAATGACCTATAATTTCTTTTCGGTAGTATTTCGTGAGCTGGGACTTTCTCACGGCTGAATTGATTTTTTTAATGACATGGGAAGTTTTTTTGATGGTATTGATGATTAATAATGGAAGAGAATTGACAATTTTCATGTAAATTGCTTGAAATTTGGTTGGGGAATTTTAAAATGATTTTTAATAGGTTTGACGGGGTTGGATGAGTTTGGATGACTAAATAATAGTCAAAGTAAGGCTTTAATAGCTCGAGCGACTCGAAATAGGCTGTAGCAGCCATATGGATCCTTCAAAAAATCTATATGAACTTTGAACTTCTTGTAGCTTCCAAATAGAGTCTATAATCATTTCAGGGGATAGTTTTCAAGTTCTAGATAATTTTCTGGACTTATAGGCTGTCATTCTAGATAGATTTTGGTTCAAAAATTGCCATTCTGGATTATTTGTCAATTTTAATCCTCTAAACTATCTCAGACCTCCTTAATACTTCCCATACCTTTACCAACAAACTAAAATTACGACAATTTCACCATCTTCACGAAATTCAAGCCTATCAATTATTTATCACATGTAATTATGTTCCCAGACAGTCCACACATTCACATGTCAATTACCAACAAATCTTGATTGTATTTATTAATCAACATGGTTAGGCTAAGGTTCCTAGTTTCACAAATTGTCGTATATTAATAGACTTAATATAGACATCCAACTGACAATCAATTCTGACAATGTTTATTTGATAATTTCCACGTCAATTTCCTTCCAAGAAAGCAAGCCTTAAAAAAAGTCAAATGAAAATTTATTTAAATATTTACGAAAGAATTCAAGACATTTGCTTTATTTACTCAAATAATATGAATAAAATATAAAATTTCATGATATTGATTATTAAACTTATTGATGGGCTTATTTGGAAGAGTCATTTATGGCGTAACTTACATATTCGATGAAGAGACAGTCATTCTTTGAATAATAGATTGCAACCGGCATTTTTATTTTTTAAGGTTGGTTTTCATTTGATTTAATTGAAAGTTTTTTAAAATTGAATGTTTGAAAGGTTGTAGGTGATGTATGGATTGGAATAGGTTTGATTGATTTTTCAGAAAGCTGAAAAAAGCTGCATCATTTAGAATGAACCCAAATGAAGTAAATTTTAATAGAATTTGGCTGACTTTAGATGATTTGCAGCTGATTTTAATCGGAATGATTATTTAATCCTTTTTCGGATAGACTAACGTAGCAAAAATATTCTTAACCTCAAAATATAAGTAATATAGAACCTATACACAGTCTACTAGAACACTGAACCTTATGAGGCTTCGAAATGGCAACATCATGAAGTCTTGTGCCACTACATGACTCAAAGTGAACAAAACAGTTATATCAAATCTATGTCAACTCTATATGATCCTATTCGAAGTCTGTGTGTCGATTGTCAATTGACTGTGTCATATTATTATTAATCAACCAAAAGTACTTAAGAACATACTCATTAAAGTTGTTTTCTGTTAATCCAATGAAAATACTCATAATTGTAGCTTAAGCTAGTCAAAAACTCACCTTACCCCTACCAAATTCTCAATGACTTCCTTTTAAATAATAATTTCAATTTCGCAGACTTTCTAGCAAATAATCATCATCAATAAAACTTCCCTATTCAACTTCCACCTTTGTTCGTCCAACATTCATTGTCTTATCGACAAAACGAATCCCATTTTCAATTTTTATGAGTTCCACGAAAAATAAAATTATTTTTCTTTCTTTCATTTCGCAAAGTTTGTTTATCTATCTATCTATCATCCAACAATACATACCTTCAATCTTCATTTCACAATAGAGAAAAAAATAAACTTTTTTTTTTGATTGATTTTTAACTTAACACAATTCATTTAATGTATTAGATGTAAAAAAGACTGAAAAGAAAGGAATGAAAATCGATATTATAGCGTGATTGTACAAAGTCGATGGATCATAATACTTCAAACACGTTTCTGTGTTCTATTGAACGAGATAATAGTGAATGAGAGAAGATGTGGAAAGGAATGGAAAGACACAAGTGACCTTTATTCATCAAAAAACACTTTTTTAAGGCATTACCGTGGATGGAAATTTTTGTACAGTAGGAATAAAGTTCAGCATCCCTTCAGAGTCTTAAACCCCCTGATTGATATTGAGATTTTAAGAACTAGGCATTAGGAGTTTTTCTTGAATTTTTGAATAATTTGTCAAAATGAATGTTAAGGAATTGAACCCTGGACTGGTTGATTCAAATGATGATTTTTTTAGCTAGTACAAGGTTCTTTTGATTGAGCAGTTACACAAAAGACTTAATATAGTCTGTAATATTGTTTTCCAATAAAGACAGAGTTCGATTCCTGAAAGAAAAAAGGACAAACACTATCTTAAAGACTATTAAAAAATACTCTCAACCTATAAAAAGATTTTGATAACAGAATTTGAGCAAGGAGCCTAAGGTACCCCTGGAAAATGTCTCTTATCGTCCCTGCTCTTCTCAGGCGTTCACCAAAACCCTCTCCAACACCAAAAGCAAACTCCAATAATTAATAGTCACTAAAAACATCGTCAGAAATTGTCTTATTTAAGAAAATTACAACAGACATGAACTCATCATTCCATCCATGTCAAATAGAAATTTATTTAGACCAAAGCTCTTCTTACTTGCCTCACAACATTATATATTTTTTAAGCAATGTCAAAGTTGAGTAAAAGCGAGAGAAAAATTGTTATTAAAGAAAGAAAGAAATTCATTAAATAGACAAGTAAACGTGCCTAAACACTTCTTTATAATAAGTATGTAAAGATATATTTATTGTGTGTAAGAAAAGAAGCGGTAATAGCCTTCAATATCTCCTTAGTGAGAAAAAAAAAGTGCTGATGATGGATATAAAAGTTGATTCATTAGTTGCCTTTTCCTTTCTGTCTCCATCCACTTCATTTCTCTTTTTCTCATTCATCGACGTACTTTTTAACTTAAAACTGTTTGCCATTGAAGATAATTTATTTTTTTGAGTCAATGTTAGCAAAAGATTTTATGTAAATGAACCTTTCATCTTT